TTTTGTTCTTTGCTTCAGGTCATGTCAGTGTTTGTTTATACTAAAACTGTTCCTCAAATACTAACCAAGGTATTGTTTGTTTACGCTTAATGATATTCTTGAACAGAGAGTATTTGAAAGCAGTCCGTTCCAATTAAGTACTCCAATATTGGCAATAGAAAGTTAAAACGTCGTTCTGACAAGTATCCTTGCTACTATTACTTTCGTTTTTGGATGAATGCGTATATTGTCTTTCAATGCAAGTCTCTTACAAACTCCATCGTTGCCAATCTCAAACCCGGATAAAAGTTTTGGGATCCAGGTAAAACTTGCCCATTATTGTATTATCGTTGTCGACGGTAAAAAGTTATGCTGCATTGGCCATCGCCCCGGTTATAAAGCTTCACCTAAGCTGGTGGGTGGGGGGGGAGGACTGAGGCAGGCTGCCAAAAGTCGATAACCTGCTTTTCACTTTCAGGCAACTGGTGGTTCGGCAATACAGCGATGAGATTCTACACAGCAGCGAAACTGCTATCCTTAATGGACAGAGGCAACAGACAGTATGATGCTGATTATAGCACGTCAAAAAAGTATCCACGGGAACGATACCGAGGGAGTGAGTTTACAGTCAGATATTGGAATATGTCCTCACTCAGAGGGAAAGAGCAACAGTTATTTGATCAGGCCATAAGGTACCAACTCGACATAATTGGGCTCTCGTCAACTAAGCACCAAGGCTCTGGAATCCTGAACTACTGCGGGTGGAAGCTATTCTACTCAGGTGTCCCAATCACAACGTGCGCTCAAGCCGGTCCCGGTGTTCTGATAGAACCCAACCTGGCTGATAGAATCGTTGAACAGAAGCCTATCATCCTGCTAAAGTTAGAACTGGCTAAAGCACTGACCCTTTTGAGCGGAGAATATGAGTCTTTCTGGATCAGGTATGTGCTCCAAAGCGCCGAAAGGCCCTTATGCTCATGGGTGATTTTAATTTGCATGTCGGAGCAGACACTGAAAAATAAGAAGCTGTGATTGCAAAGAACGGCCCTTACGACCTCAACAATAACGGCATGAAGTTGTTGCAGTTTTGTGCAAACAACGGACTGTCCATTTTTAACATCTTCTTCGAGCATCGCAGTGTACATCAGTATACCTGGTATGGAGAAGTTAATGCACTGAAGTAGATTCTAGGTTTGATAATCATTTCGTCTGACTTCGACGCTCTGACCGATCATCTCTTTTATTGCACCCTCCATTGCAGATGATGGTATACCATGCGAAGGCCTGACGGCATAAGCAACCAGAGAATCGAATGGGAAACATTATCTTCAGGGAGCACAAGGGCGAAACTTGCAAACAACATCGCAAGGAGGTTTGAACAGATCCCGGTGATGAACACTGATGCGGAAATCGAGTGGCTTACTCGGGGCTGCCGGCGAATGCTGTAGTTTAAAGCATGTTTGCCTACTACCTGGAGGTCAGAAACGAATTTTCTGGATTACACAGTAGATTAATCTGGTTGTCACCGAGAAAAAGGCTACATTTAAAAAATGGCTTTGAAGCAATGAGCCTTCATAGTATAGTGCAATATGCAAAAGTACACATGACGGTAGCGATATCGACGGCCAAAGCGGAAGTCGATTCCTCAGCAAAATTCGAAGGGGTTGTGGAATTGTCAGACGGCAAGCGAGGTATTCCGAAAGCCTATCGGCTGCCACCAAGACGGAAAGAAGTCTAGCCCCAGATTCCTAAGCGACAAGTCTAGACGCCATCTTACCAAGGATGAGGACACACCTTGGCAATGCCGAGAGTACTTTGAGAAACCGCCTGAAGTGCAGCATACTACGGATATTTGTTTTTCACCAGATGAAGTCACAGAAGCCGTAAAATGTTCGAAAAGTGGAAAAACTGCTGCAATCGATGAAATCCTCAATCAAATGCTTAAAGCTTGAGGCGAACCAAGGCATGTTGTACCGACCTTTTTTGGGGGCATTTATTGAACTGATCTCCAGCTCTCTCCGGAAAAGTTCGCAACCGAGTGCTAAGTGCTGCATGCACAGCACGTGTGTGCATGTCTAACATGGAAAGTCTGTTGCTCTCTCGTTCTCCTGCCCGTTACGCTCTGCAGATAGGTAAGGAACAGGTGGAGAGATTCATGCCTCAGAGTCGTATTTACTACTGATGGGCAGTGGGATTAGGAGATCGACCGGCGAGTTGTCATGGCCAGCGGCGTCGTCCAGGAACTAGCCCTATCCGTAGTGTTTAAAAGTAAGCTCCGTCTGAAAGCTGAACTCTCCGTGTTCAAGTCGAACTCCATACCGATTCTCACATACAGTCATGAGTCATAGGACATAATTGATTGACATAATTGACAAATTTCGATAGCGGGTACAAGCAGTTGAAAGAGGGTTTCTAAAACGGATTGCCGGACTAACACTTATCGATATAGTCCGGAGCACTGATATGCGAGAGAGCCTTGGTGTGCAGCCACTGCTTCTTCTTACTGAGAAGTCGCACCTGTGATAGTTTGGGCGCGTATTGGGAAAACCTTCAGAAAGGTAGGTGAGATAGCTACTACTTTCCCAACCGGTCGTCTGACGATTCTGGGACGGCTGAGAATTACCTTGGGCAAGCATATGGAAAGACTATGCTGCCGAAGCACAAACACTGGCATAGGATCAAGAACGTTGGAGACATTTATGACGAGTATGCTTCCGCGACAGGAAAGGACAAACGGTCATCAAAGCTGGCTCACTGACTGGCCTCTTATGCACTGAATCAATTATTATGACATAATGACATGCCTTATGACTATGACTATGATTATGCTTATGACACAATGGGCCTGAAATTTCACAAGAGTTAATTTGAGGTTTTCCATATTCTTCCAGTATTGCAAGAACATGATACAAGTTGTCAGAAATAATGTTGTCAATTTATAATAATTTTAACCAAACATAGAGTCAGAGTATTTTAAAATGAGAATGAACTGGGCTTCTCCACTTCAACTATATCCTCTGTGATTCTCTGTTCAGAGAATAGGTGGATGAGGAAATTATCCGGCATCACATCCGATCTTGAGCAACTCTTTGATGCTAGTGATGTTAAGTTGTGTCGATTATATGATTGTGCTCTTCCAGCATCTTTATATGAATCTCTATCTTTGGACCAACTCTTGTGATGCCATTTATTCCAATCAGTTCTCATTCTTCCCATTGTGCGGCCAAACCACGGTCGTTTCCTGCTTTTGTATTTTTTCATATGAGATCGCAGAATGTCAAGTTTCGTGAAGACTAATTATTGATTTTCAGTCTCATCCGAGAGATCCCAAACATTTGTCTGTAAAAACACATCTCAAACGCTTCGATGGATTTGCCATGACTTGCACTGATTCTACCTCCCTCGTGGTTCAACATCTCACAACGGGTCAGATTAGAAATTTGAGAAGTTTAAGCTTCAT